GATTTCTGGAGATTCACAAAAAATATTATTCATTACTTAATATTCATATTTTTGTCTTCATCTTGAGAAACATGACTATAGGTGCCCATTAAGAAGATCTTTCTAACATACCTTGAATTGTAGAGACTTTATCCATTTTTAAAAGAAAAGCTTTTATACAGAAATTGTTTTTGCTACTAAGTAGTACCCTTCCCTCTCTCTTTTGGGATGGCAGATGGGGGAGGAGATTTGCAACTGTCCTTTCACAAGCCCTTAGCCGAATGCGCATTAAAAATTAGTAATGCCCATGTCATGTCTGGTGTAATTATATTAGAGAAATGGACCTTGGAGTAAACATAGCCCTAGGCCTAAATTCTGCAGATGCTTTAGGCCTGAAACACTCAGAGATGTGGGTTACAGCTGTTTGCTCTCATGTGATGAGCTGGCCAGGAAAGAGGAAGGGCTGGGGAGCTAAGAGGAAAGGCTTGTACAGGAAGCTGCAAAAGTGAACATGGAAAGGGAAAATAAGCATAGGAGGGGATTATGAAAGAAGAAACAAAGGATGCAAAAAATAACTGTTTCTACTGATGTCAGGATCCAGTGTCCTAAAATTTAGTGAAGTTGCACATGTGTAACTGAAATTAGAGCTGGGCCCTGAAGAGCCAAAATGTTAAAATCATAGCTCTGAGATCTATGCTCAATGTCCTACCTTCATTTAATTTGTAGCTAGGTATCCAACTAGTCATGTGTATGTGCAGTCACCTAGTATACACATGCAGTTGTAGTAAAAGGCCTTGAATCAGCAAAACACTTAACATGCTTAAGTACTATGCTGAATCAGGGCCATAGCATGCACAAACATAAGCACACAATCTTAAACAAACATTGCAACTCTGTTTTGAAAATGTTTGTCATCATGATCTAATTCTGCCTTAAATTATACAAAATAAATGCATTTATCAAACTCTATTTTTAAATGGCTGAATAGAACTTTGATGTTTTCTTATGCCAGTATGAGCATGTATATTTATTCTCTAAAGAGAATGCTAATTGTGTTAATTTTATTTTAATATAATCTCTTTTAAACACAGTCATGCAGTGTAGCGCACCTAGTCACAGATTACTGTGTTTCACAGCATGAGAGACTTCTGTGGTACTGGAATCATTCCACCTGTGCCTCCATGCTTCTCACTATCCCTAGGGTGTGTTTCTGTAGCATATGCTCACACTGGACCTGCACATCTCATTGTGTTGCTGTAGACACCTCTGTCACATAGATTGGACATTTCAGACCACAAATTGAAGCACAGGGTGTTTTGCTTGCTATTTGTAAGTATATGATCACAGACTTCTCAAGGAGCGCAGATTTTGTGGTGCATTTCAAGCGAAACACCCTCTTCCATAGCAACACCAAAGCAGGTGATGGTCCATACATCAGAGACAGGAAAAATGACCTTTGGCTTAGGGGAGGCTGCCCTGGACTGGGAGCTAGGAGACTATGAGTTCTAAGGTTACCTCTTGCACTGCCTGCAGTTCATATTTCTATGCACTTCATAGCCATTATTATTGAGCATGTCCTCAGATCTCTCCCTTAGCCTACCTAGAGGGAGACAAGTATTATTCTCCCCATCTCACGAATAAGTTAACTGAGATTTGGACAAGATCACACCCAGTAGAACTAGGAATAAAACTCAGGTATATACGACAATCGACCCAAGGCTAAGCTGTGTTGCCTTTCAGAATGAACATACCAAATCTATGTACTTGGCTAACCTATCTTCAACCACTAAACCATGCTTCTCTCCCAGGGGCAAGAACAGAATCAATTAATTCTGATTCCCCACCATCCTACTGTTGACTTGCAAATAGTTGTGTGTCACTTTGCCCCCAAAGCTGGCCCACATGGACGGTGACGCATCTTGTTCAAGTGGTAGAGGGCTACGCTGGTGATCTGCATGGTTCTTATGGTTGTATATAGTAGAATTTCTGTTTTTCTTGTTTGCTTCCTAAATAAAATCCATTTTAATCCATTTGTTTAAAAAGAAATGAAAATAATCCTATTGTATAGTTTAAACCATTGTAAACAGTCAGTACTGGTGTGATGTGCAACAAAACACAGGTGTTCCATATTTGGGTCATTCGTCACACAATTTAATTATTTCAGGCAGATCTGAAGGTTGAGAGGTATGGTTGATTATAGCAGGTTAGCTGCCCATGGAGTGCCACACAAAATTAATATTGAGTTGTCATGTAAAGGCAGCTGACTCCAACACAACAGGCATAGGCAGGAAGCCTTTGGAAACCTGTATGGGGAAAACCAAACACCCATGTGTATGTAATTCCTGTGGCATGAAAGGGGGTGGAGAGCTGTTGTCATACTAAGTCTAATAGTCCATCATACTCTACGGCATAAACTGACAGGGCTGTATTAATGGCATTCTAAATCCTCAGAGAGGCGGTCTATATTAAAGGAGGCTGGAGAAATCCTCTTTGGTCAGATAATTAAAGCTGGATTTTTTTTTAGGTGAAAATCCTTTTTTTTTTTTTTTGTAATTAGAAAAACAGGATAAATGTAGCCAGAGTTTGGGCTAAGCTTTCGATTTCCCTGAAGTATGGTACAAAATACGCTTTTGGGACATTTCTGTCAGTGTGATAGAGCAAGATTATTCTTCCTGCACAGCTATTCCTCAGCATCCTTCATGTGCTATAGCAACTGATTATAGGTGTTTATTTTGTTACTGATCTGGAGTCTTTATAGGGCCAAGTTATGAATTAGGCTTTGTATCCTGCCGGACTATCGTAGCTTGAAATCAATGCATGCACATAAATCAATTCATGGCCTCGCCCAACAGAATTTTAAAAGCACTTTGTTTATTTCCTGATCCTGATAAGTGCTGAGTGCCCTCAACCACTGTTGAATGGAGGCTGAGATCAATCAGCACTTCACAGAAAATCCTCCACAAGTCTCAAGGCAGAGCCCTTGATGCCTACATGAAACTACAGTTTGACAAGCTAAAGGAAACATTAAATAAGCAGCTAATTGAAAAGATCTGTAAATAGCATGTTGTTTGAAGAATTATTCTCTTTGAATTCATCCCAGAGAGAGAGGTTTTTTCCCCTCTCTATGGGGGGGAAGACTAATAATGATTATTAGCACATGCACATGCCCCCAAGCACAGCACAGCCTTTACAGAAGGGTGTTATTGGTGTATGAGGTATTGCTTGTTCTGGCAATGTAATGCCTTTTCTGTGGGTGGTGGTTGTATATTTTGCCCTGGGATAGTATGTCAAACATTGACCTCTTCCATACAACTGCATCAAGTACAGATTTAATAGTATAAAATCTTCACATACTGCCCCAAAAAAACAATGCCTCAGTGCTACTTGATACACATGACTAACACCACAATATTATCCACAATTGACTCCAGTGGGCTTTGGGTCAGGCCCAGAGTAAACATTTTGAAAAGAAATCAAACTAGATTTGTATGTCACAGATTTGTTGATTTAGGGGGGGATTTTCAGAAGCACTCAATGTTTGCCTAACTCTGCTCCCACTGAAGTCAGTGCTAAAACTCCATTGACTTCACTAGGAGCAATGTTAGGCCAATGCTGAGTACTTTTAAGAACATAAGAACGGCCACACTGGGTCAGACCAAAGGTCCATCCAGCCCAGTATCCTGTCTACCGACAGTGGCCAATGCCAGGTGCTCCAGAGGGATTGAACCTAACAGGTAATGATCAAGTGATCTCTCTCCTGCCATCCATCTCCACCCTCTGACAAACAGGCTGGGGACACCATTCCTTACCCATCCCAGCTAATAGCCGTTAATGGACTTAACCTCCTTGAATTTATCCAGTTCTCTTACATGCCTTTTCCCTGACAGCTAAGGCACCTTTAAAAACCTGGCTGCCAAAGCCAACCTTGGTAGGTAGACAGCCGGCATGTCATGAAAATAAGGAACCTGATCTTCACAAAAGGCTACTCAGCACTTCATTTCTCTTGCTGCTGATCTTCAAACTGCACCCTTACCAAATACTACAGTATTAAATGGATCAAAATAATGTGGCTGCTATCATATGTTGGACACTTATTTTGGGACACTGTCATCATTAAAAGCTGATCTCAATAAGTCAGGGTGCTGCAATGGTTTAGAAAGAGTACATAGATCGCTTGAGACCAAAATGCCAACCAGAGTTATGAACTGAACTGAACTCACATTTATAAATGGGAGTCTGGCCAAAACATCATCAGAGAACTTAAAAAGTAATATTTTATCCCTCCTCCCCCTACTTCCAAAAAACTAGTACAGAGTGTATTTGAATCTAAATCATTCAGAAAATAAATTGGGGGCAGCTCCACTCCCTCCATGTTCCTATACCTGATACAATAAATACTTGATTGTTTCATGCATTATTCTAGGCAGGCAGTCAAAAGTCCTTTATAGCAGAGGGTCATTACAAACACTACCATGGTGGTTCTTAGATTCTTGTGTATAGCAATGGCCAAATAATTTCATATATTACTTTGTGGTATTGATTTGCAGTCCCTTCGATCAATTAGCAAAACCCTAATTATTTATTCCAAATAGAAAATATATGTTAGCTCGTAGGAATAAGCATTTGAGTCAGTTCACATGCAAACCTCTAATTACCACCAGTACATAGCACTATTTCAGAAGCAGTTTGAAAGGTCAATGAGGGACAGGCAGCTGCAACTAAAATCACTCAAACCATATAGACTTCCTGAAATTTCTCAGGGAAAATCTTGATGCTGCTAACAGAAGAGCATTCAATATCAAGAGCAGTAGCTTGTATAATCTGTAGTGAATTTGACAGGTGTTGGATCACAGCATTAGGCAAGTATATAATCAAACCTCTTGGGGAAGCATCATCCCACTGTGCTTTGGAAGATTTTTGGGGGGGAAAAAACCTTCTTCATAAATATTTAAATGCTTTTGTAGGGAGTGCTGAAAATTAGGTTTCGTTCTCATTCGTTTGTTTATACTGTTTTTTCCCAGCTCCCTGCGGCCAAAATGAAACCAGAGAGGATGGCAAAATAATCCAGCTGCCCCCCTGCAAGACAGGAGCATGGATCGTTCCTGCCATCATGGCATGCTACCTCTTGGTTGCAAATATTCTTCTGGTGAACCTCCTCATTGCTGTTTTTAAGTGAGTGGAACACTGATACATGTGGATTCAGGGAGTTATGATTGTGACGTTTCCCTGGGGCCCCCTAGGTTGTGAGGCACTCACCACCACCTGAAAGAAAACCTGCTTATCACCTTTCTGGTGACCAGTCCTTAATCACAGACCTTAAGAACATAATTTTAAGTATATACACACAACTCCTTATACAACATCCATACATACATTTTGCAATGGTTATGCTGACCAGTGTGATCCAGGCCTTATATGACATGCTTTTGATGAACCCATGGGATCCCTGTACTCCATCCAGAGGTCGTTGGGTCACAGTGATGATTTGGCCAGCATGGCAGCCTTTGCAGACTGCTGTGCTGTAAACTGGGGTTTGGAATCCGTTTCAGGGGAGCTTTATTATAGGTGGGAGTGACAGAGTAGATTGTCTCCAGGCAGGGCCGGATTTAGGGGCAGGTGACTGCCTTGGGGTGTTGGGCTTGAGGGGGGCTGTTTTTGTTGTTAGCGACAAAAGAGAAAATAGAATGTTTGAAGTAAAATGTTTCAGGTGTTGATGTTAGTACATTTCAGTTATTCTTAAAATTAAAAAGTTTCTACAAGCTTAGAGGAAATGATTTTTTTTAATTGGTTTATATATGACATGAAATAAAATACAGATTTATAGATCTTAGCATGCAAATTTATCCTCTTATATGACAGGGATAAATCATGCATGCAAATCATGCATCAAAATCATGAAATGGGTTACAAATGCAATAAAAAATAAGGTATTCAAAAGTGTAACAAATGGAGTTACAAAAGACACTCCTCACCTTGGGCGCCATTTGGTGTAGGTCCAGCCCTGTCCCCAGGGTATGTGGTGGCTGTACAGTTCTTTAGAATTTGTGGTATCCAACCTACAGAGATCCACTGGGACAGAGAGCAAGGAATTTCTGCATTCTAATCTCAACTATGGCACATGTTCACTTAATCCTTCATTGCCTCATTTTACCCATACATAAAATGTGGATAATAACACGTACTCACCTCATGAGCCTAACTGCATGAGCCCAACTGTGAAGTATTAAGTATTAATATTCTGTCATTCATAACCAGCATATCTTTGAAACTGCTGGTACAGTCATGCTTTCTTGAGGTGATAACAGTGAATCTTGTTCTGTTTTTTATGATGGGCTTTGACACTATGTGAAATCTGTCTAACTAGGTACTGTATTATCATGTGGGGGAATACCCAAAGATGGTTTCAATCTCACTTTATTGTCCTTTTTTCCCCTCTCTCTTTTCTTTTAGCAACACATTTTTTGAAGTCAAATCTATATCCAACCAAGTGTGGAAATTTCAGAGGTATCAATTAATCATGACATTTCATGAAAGGCCAGTCCTGCCACCACCTCTGATTGTTTTCAGCCACATGACTATGATTTTCCAACACCTCTGCTGCAGATGGCGGAAACATGAAAGTGACCAAGATGAGAGAGACTATGGACTAAGTAAGGTTCAACCAGCTTACACCTGTAGATAAAAAGCGTGACTTTCAAATTCATTTGGTGGTCCTTATAGTTTGGAGGGCATGTAAACTGAATTCAGCTCTACAATAACCTTTTCAGAGAGAAACAACTACATATGCACACAAATACTAACAAATTAATTATTTAATTTTATCAGTGTATCTCCCACCCTTAGAGAAAACCAGCAGAATGTATTAAATTTTCCCCTCTCCCTTACCACTGCTCGATATACAAACATGCCCTTCTTCCCTCCACTTGACAACAGGGAACCCTGAGACCTGAAAGTTTTGAAAACAGCACCTGGCCCAGAAGAGATGCTAAGAATTTAAGTACAATTAAGGATCTTTGTTTGGGAGATATTAGAAATAGGAGAATTTACCCAAACTTTTCCCAAGTAAAAAATGGTTCAAATTTGGCTAAGGTCCAGGCCTTATTTCTTTGTTTTAACTAGTTCATTAAACCCTAATAATGATTTTGTAAAAAGACAGGACTACATTTTCAAAGTGATATTCATCCAACTGCTAAAATTCACAGCAATAGTTTTGTGTGCACAATATTTATCTGCCTGATTGATGGCTGGTGCGCTAATTCAGTTGCTGATTCTCATACAAGTGTATGATGTAGATACAGCCTTGGAGACTGCTTTTGAAAGTTTCGCCAACGGTCTACAATAATAAAAATCAGGATTTTGTTTCTTATAAATTTCTGCTTTGTCAGTGTCACATTCCTCCTGTAATTCCCACAGAACTGTTCATAACCGAAGACGAACTAAAAAAAGTGCATGACTTTGAGGAGCAGTGCATAGAAGAATATTTTAGAGAAAAGGATGATAGATTTAATTCTTCCAATGATGAAAGAATCCGCGTCACTTCTGAAAGGTGATTTTTGGTTTAGTTTGGTTCATTCTATATCAGGGGTGGGCAAACCACAGTCCACGGAAGTCCACATCCGTCCTGCCAGCTAATTTAATCCGGCACTTGAGCTCCCACTGGGCAGCGGGGTCGGGGACCGCTCCACAGGCTCATACCGCAGCTCCACGCAGTTCCTGGAAGCAGCAGTATGTCCCTCTCTGGCTCCTACGTATAGGGGCAGCCAGGGGGCTCCGCATTCTGCCCCTGCCCCAAGTGCCACCCCCGCAGCTCCCATTGGCCAGGAACTGTGGCCAATGGGAGCTTCAGGGGCAGTGCCAGTGGAGGGGGCAGCACACAGAGCTGGAGGCAAGACATGCTGCTGCTTCCGGGATCTGCTTGAGGTAAGAAGGGGAAGCCAGAGCCTGCACCCCTGATCTCCTCCTGGGCCCCAGCCCTCTGTGCCCCTGCCCTGATCCTCCTCCCGCCCTCCGAACCCCTCAGTCCCAGCCCAGAGCACCCTCCTGCACCCCAAAGTCCTCATCCCCAGCCCCACCCCAGAGCCTGCACCCACAGCAGGAGCCCTCACCTCCCCACCATGCCCAAATTCCCTGCCGCAGGCCAGAGCCCCCTCTGAACCCTGCAGTCCCAGCCTAGAGCACCCTCCTACACTCCAAACCCCTCACCACCTCCTGCACCCCAACACCAATTTCGTGAGCATTCATGGCCTGCCATACAATTTCCATACCCAGATGTGGCCCTCAGGACAAAAAGTTTGCCCACAACTGTTCTATATAGTATTTATCTTTAAATGTGTTCCTGTTACCATTGCTACTTTCTTCCTCTCCTTGGTGAGGGAACTGCTTGAGGCTACTTTTTAAATTATTCTTCACAGCCTACAAACTGCAGCGGGCTGGAAAATGTTCAAATTTTTTTACTACAAATTTTCATCCAGATTTTGAAACTATAAAACATTTAACCAGCTCAGCTAGAAAATAACAAATCCATGCGTTCTTCTTGTATCTGAGTTTTTCAAATCATAGCCCTAGAACACAGGTGATCAAAATATAACCTGGAGGCCCAATGTGGCTATTAGTTCTTTAAGGCAACCTGTAACAGGTGTAGCCCACTTAGAGCGGTCAAGAGCACTGGATGTCTGGACCTGTGAAGTGGAATGGGAGTTTTGCCATTTACTTCAATGGGACCAGAATTTCACCCATAGAATTTACAGACTCACTCTCTCTGTATTAAAGATGAAGGTAACTGCAATCAACTCCATTTTATGTAAATTCTATGCAGCCTCAGGTTCCTGGCAAATTCCCAACATAGTTCTCAGATCTCTCTCCTCTCTCTGTTTAAATGAGTGTTTATGTAGCCCTCATAACCACTGTATCTGAGCAATTTAGTTAAGTTCGAGTTCGCCATCACAGATCATATCTATTGACTTAAGGCATTGGTCTCAGTAAATATTTCAGGCCAACATCCAGTCAATCTATTAATAACTAATTCATATGAGCCAATGAAAACTCTTTAATTCTTTCTGGTTAAGTTTTTCTTAGAGAGACAATGAGAGCGATGGTTGTGAATTCATTTCAAGAAGAAACTCTCTTCCACCTATGCTGCATCCTCACAGCACCACATCTGATGCAACCAGGTTTAAAATGTGCTTTATACTGGCATAGAAATATATTTTAGTTTTATTTCAGCTTTGAAAGTAAATCCAGCTAAGAACAGGACTAGCATACCGTATATCCCCTTAACCATCCGCATTCCTGGCTGAGAACTGTATTCTCAAACAACACACTTTTATGAAAGTACATTAAAGAGGAAGGATAGTCCAGTGGTTAGGGACTAACACAGAACCTGGAAGACCCAGGTTCCATGTCAGCTCTGCCACAGACTTTCTTTTGTGACTTTGCATGAGTCACTTAGCTTTTCTGTGCCTCAGTTCCTCATCTGTAAAATGGACGTGACAGTAATTTTCTTCCTCATAGGGGATAAATACATTAAAGATTTGAGGTGCTTAGAATCTTATATAGCCCCAGTTATTGTAGTATCTTAGATAAAAGACACTTTATGAACCAGAACCACAGATCTGTCCCAGTCCATTCCCAGCTATCTTGAACATGGGAAAAGTTTGGATCTGGACCCAGACTCTATCCAATTGTTCTGACCCAGAAACATAAATCTAACCCCTCTACTCTTTCCCCAAACTGAGGAATGTTCAAAACTCGCTCCAGATCCAAGCTACATAACTCAGGGCCATCTCAATAGAAATTGTTAATAAGTTGCAGGACACAGAAGCTTACACACCCTCTCGCTTTTCTATCACAATACCTGGTCATTATCCTGTAGCAGAATACATAGAGCATTACACCCATTAAAAACTTAAATTATAAGCAAGGTCCACAAAATAATAGGTCGAGTCCACTAAATCTACTTTGTGTGACATAAAGTGGACGTGAAACAGCTAGAGAGGCCTGTGGAGAATTCCCCCTGAGTTGGGGAACTCTCTCCCAGCAAGAAGCCGAAAGAAGGCAGCTCTACCACCTCCTGAATAAGCCACTCCTCCCTCTCCAACCCCTAGCGTAAGGAAGGGGGGGGACATATGAGTGGCACAGCAGAACTCTGCTATGCCCAGTCTTACAGTAGCGTCAAATCCCTACAGGACCGTATGCTAGTAGTGTAAGTCAGAGCTGCTGTCTTGCCTTGCACGTAGGCCAGACGGCTCAGAAGCAGGCTCCCCAGTCAGACTCTGTTGAGCATTATTGCTTCATGTGCTGCACACCTCATTCAGGATTGATGCCTTTGCTTCTTAAACATCCTATTGAGTGTTTTGGGTTTACACAGTCTGTTCTGTGGCTTAGCTTGAGAAAGGACCATAGTTACATGCCATAGGTGCAGGCAGGCTAGTTATGGGGAATGAATGAATGAACTTCCTCAACAATACTACAAGAGGAGATGCATTGGGAGGAGTTGGTGGGGTAATGTGAGAGCAGGACTGAGTCTTGACTCAGGGGAAACAATCTCTAGGAAGAGAGAAGAAATTGAGAAAAGAATTGGGGTGGGAGTTCCTATACTGTGGTGGAAGTCAACCATACTTAGGCCCCAATCCTACAAAGCTTGCTTATATGCTTAACTTTAATCATGTGAGTATTCCCGTTGATTTTACAGTTATACATGTGCTTAAGTGTTTGCTGGACCAGGGCCTTGCTCTTTTGCTTCAGGCTTCTCTGAATCAAGTGACAACTTACACCTTTACCGTAGGCTGTGGCTGAAGGGAAAGCCCTCTGGCATTTGTGTTTGAGCTGACATGCTTTATATTTAGTATTTGGATTTACAATAAAACACCGCACAAAGGAGTTCAAACTTGGTCTGTGTGTAGAATCTTTCCTACTCTGACCATCCTATAGCGTCCTATAATGAAAAACTGAACCTGGAAAAAAACATAAAACAATATTTTAGTAATCCCAAATGTTCATGGGGCACACCAGTCAAATAACTTAGAAAAGTATCTATCTACCTACTTAGTAGGTTCTCTCAAAGGCATTAATCACAATAATATCTATGTGTTAATAATACACACTTCAGGAGAGGAGAATGAAAAGTAACAAGCTGTAAGGTGGTTCTTCCAATTATATTAACTAGAAAGGCAAGCCTTGTTCAATCTCCTGGAGACCAAGAGCAAGGTGGGATTGATATGTTTTTACATGGACTTTCTATTGTAGAAGAGTTACAACACATTCTCTTTGGAATCCTTCTTTCATAAACAATATACTACTGTCAGCAGTTCATTTCAATCAGCATAGCATTATATATTTACATGAAGTTAAATTATTTTGCTTAAAATATATGCAGCCATCATATCAGTCCACCCTGCAAATGTTCCTTCCTAATTAACAGACAAGTCCTGTCTTAAAGCCAATGGAAAAACCTGCCATTGACTCCAAAAAGATGAGGATCAGACCTTAATAGTGCTTAAGATATTAGGTTTAGCTTCACCTAACTCCCAAAGATTATTTTTAAAAATCTATCCTTAGACTATTTGCCCAAGGTCCCACAGAAAGCATAGGCACTTGACCCATGGTGTCCCACATCCCAAGCTGGATCCTTAACTACTGGGCTATCTTTCCTCTCAAAATATTTAAAATTATTACTGTAACCAGAGGCCCCACATGACTGTTGATGGGGAGGGCACAATTTAAAGGTACCAGGGCAATATGTGACCACCCCACACCTTGCCTCTGGATCTAAAATAGATGTTTTAAACCTGTGGTGTGTGCCACCCCATAGGGGGAGCAGAGGAACGTTTGGGGAGGTAAGCAGCAATGCCAGGTGCCTTGAGCCCGTGACTCCAGGCAGTTAGCTAAATAGAAAGCAGAAATCTGCGGGCGGAGGGCATGTGCTCCCCTCCACACGCATTGTCTCTGACTGTAGCATCCAAAGACTCCAATCAAGATTGGAACCAGAATGTATTAACTGGTGCACAAATACGTATTCAGACATGGTCCCTACTGTTATGCAACAGCATGCACACACAGAATTAGATAAAAACATAAATAGTCTTGCTGGAAGGCTGCAATGTAACACTACTTTATTTCCTAGAATTCAGAACAATAACACACAAGAATCTAAACAAACAGAGAGAAAAAAACCAGGCTGCTCCCTAAAACAAAGAGGCACAAATCACCCTGCCTTACTATACACTGGCTGTCTACAAACTGACTCTAATTGTATGCTTCATTCCAGAGCCCACCATTAAAATCAATGGCAAAATTCCCTAAACTCAATGGGATCAGAATTTCTACTTGTTCAGTATCTTCTATATCCCTAAATTTTAAAGTTAGATATGTCATCAGAGAAGAGTTATTTTACAGGTTGAATGTGTGCCAGTGCATTCAGTCATTGGCTAAGAAGTATATAAAATTTGCATTTTAAAACCAGAACTTTTTGTTAAATTGTTAAATTATATGGCAAAATTGATTCCAGTAGGAATTGGTAGCTTGAATATTCTCTATTATGGGATTATATCTTGTGCTTGAAGTGGGAAAGGCCTTTTGCCCCAAACATTTTTGTTTCCTTTGACTAGAAGGGGTGGTTTAGTGGTCAAAAAACAACTTGGGAAGAGTGACGTTTCTCACAGCTTCAAAAATCTCACAGCTTCAAATCTCAGCAGTGTTTATTTAGCCATTCGTCTTTCCAAGTCCGATACATATACACCTCTACCCCGATAGAACATGACCCAATATAACACGAATTCGGATATAACGTGGTAAAGCAGCGCTCTGGGGGGCAGGGCTGCACACTCCGGTGGATCAGCGTGTCTGGCTCCGACACACTGCTCTGAGCGGCGTGTTAAGGGTGCCGGGCTGGGGCCGAGGGGTTGGATAAGGGGCAGAGGGTCTCGGGGGGGGGGGGGGTGGTCAGGGGACAGGGAGCAGGGCAGGTTGGATGGTTCAGAGGTTCTGGAGGCAGGGCGGTTGGGACGAGAAACAGGGGCGTTGGATAGGGCGTGAGCGTCCCAGGGGGCCTGTCAGGGGGCAGGGGTGTGGATAGGGGTCGGGGCAGTCAGGGGATAGGGGGTTGGCTAGGGGGTGGGGTCCTGGGGATGATTAGGGATGGGGGGGTCTCTGGAGGGGGTGGTCAGGGGACAAGGAGCGGGGTGGGTTGGAAGGGTCGGGGATTCTGAGGGGTCAGTCAGGGGGCGGGAAGTGACTATTAATAACGGAAATGCTCGAGGCCAAAGCAAGTTCGATATAACGTGGTTTCACCTATAATGCGGTAAGATTTTTTGGCTCCTGAGGACTGCGTTATATAGGGGTAGAGGTGTAGTACTAAACAGTTTGCTGTGTGTTGTTCTTTCAGATAAGACTTCTGAAACTAAAATTTTGTCCACTCTGCATGCCCATTAAACTGGGGTGCAATCCAGACCCCATTTATGCAGTATTTTCCACCTCTAATTTCTATGGGTCTATTGTATTGAATCTACTAAAGTATTTAAAGGTAACTGATAAAACAATTGTTTTATCAATCAACTAAAAATAAACTGCAAAGCAATTAGACTAGATCCTTAGATCTGTATAAGCTCTACTTAGAGAAAACCCAAGGAGGGACAGGGGCAAAAGTGGTTGTATTCCACTTTCACACACACCCCCTTAATCCTGGAGCCAGCCATATCCCGCTTTGCCCTGTGGCACAATTTATAGCAACCTCATCGCTGCCCTAACTTTTACCCATCTGCAACAGCACCCAAAGCAGCAGTTCTGGCAGCTGGGGATTGCCAGAGCAGACCACCCCCTTCCTCCTGCCAACATACCCTACATCAAGGCCTACAAGTGGGTAGCATAGAACTGGTTATTCTGGTTCTACACCACTACTGCAGTTTCCTAGAAAAGGGGAATCATTTTGGCCACTTAATCCATCCTTAACTGTTTTGCAGCAGATGGGGTGATATAAAAATTAGAATAAAACAGAGGATTTGGCCTGGACTTTTTAAGCCCTATTTGTTCCCATACCCTTTGGCAGGTTAATAAATGAACACCAGTAATCACTCCCCTGCATATAACCCATGCATTCTTCTTTTGAAGGGTAGAGAACATGGCCATGCGCCTAGAGGAAGTGAATGAACGAGAACATTGTATGAAGGCTTCGCTTCAGACTGTAGACGTCAGGCTTGCTCAGCTGGAGGACATGATAGGACGAATGGCTGCAGCCTTAGACAAGCTGACTGGTATAGACAGAGGGGAAACGACTAAGATACGATCTAGAACCTCCTCAGACTGCACAGATGCAGCCTACATTGTGAGACAGAGCAGCTTCAATAGCCAGGAAGGGAACACTTACAAGCTTCAAGAGAGTATAGATCCTGCAGGAGAGGAGTCAATGTCCCCAACCTCTCCTACCATCATGCCCCGCCTGCGAAGCCACTCTTTCTATGCAGTGAATATGAAAGACAAATGTGGGTTAGAAAGGTTGGAAAATATTTTTAAAGAAAAGTCTGTGAGCCTGCATCGAGCAAGTAGCTCACACTCTGTATCAAAAGAAGCAAAAGTACCATTAGCCCCTACAAGCACTTTGTCAATTGCCCCAGACTCCAGAAGGCCTTCGTCTTGCATAGATATTTATGTTTCTGCCATGGATGAGTTGCATTCTGGTATAGAACCTCTCGACAGTTCAATTAATATACTTGGTACCGGAGACCCATCTCTGCAGGCTCAAATAGCCTCTTCTGTTCTAGCAAACAGTGCGTATATTAGCAGTACTCCCAGTGACAGAATTTCCGGCAGGAGTATTGATTGTGAGGAAACCTCTACAATGGAAGCAAGAGTGTTTTCTTCAGATTATTCACATATCATAGATAGCCAAAACCTCTGGGAGTCAGACCCTCCTTTGTATCAGACCTTAGAGCGATCTAAAAGCAGTCGCTATCTGGCTACTACCCCATTTATTCTGGAGGAAACCCCAATTGTGAAGTCTCACAGTTTTATGTTCTCTCCTTCTCGGAGCTATTTCAGCAGCCTTGGGGTGCCAGTCAAAACAGCGGAGTACACAAGTATTACAGACTGCATAGACACCAGGTGTGTCAGCACTCCCCAGAATATTGCAGAAAGATCCAGTTTTCCTGGAAATCATGGAGACAAAGTGGAGGACTTGGGATGCTGCCACCCAGAGAGAGAAGCAGAGCTAAGTCACCCAAGCTCTGATAATGAGGATATTGAGGTCAAAGACAAAAAGGGGGCTTCCTTATCTCCGCAAGAAAGCAGCACAGCAAGAACACTGTCCAACAACATACCACTTCCAAAAATAGAGAGGGCCAACAGTTACTCAGCAGATGAGTCCAGCATGATGTATGCACACACAAGGAAAAGCTATTCTATCAGTGATAAACTTGATAGACAGCGTAACACAACGGGCCCACGAAATCCATTCCAGAGGAGTAAGTCATCCAGGCCGGAGAGTAGAGGAGACAACTTGTCTATGAGAAGACTGTCTAGAACAGGTGCCTTCCCTAGCTTTGAAAGCAAGCACAGCTAGACATGCATAACAGGAGGTCTAAGAGTCATCCGCTCTCCAGTCCATTTTCCTTAACAGAATAAAATATGATATGTCAACTAAAGTCAGAGTCTGTCACTGGTCAGGTTAGCACTTTGTTAATCTCATTTTCGCACACTGAGTTACTGGATCCTGACCGAGTTGACATTTGCACTTAAGGAAAGAGGGAGGGAGGAAAGCTTTATAAAGGCTTTAATTTAAAAAAAAAAGAAAAGAAAAAAACACCCTCACAAAGACTTGAGTAGGTTCAGAGATCTGCCTTTTACTAGAAGATATCCTAGGATTTCTCGTAATTATTCATGAGTTTCTAAGACACAGGGCTAAATTGGCAAAAAGAAAAGCATACAAATGAGATACTCTAAACTGATTTCTATTTACATCAGTTCCATCATTGCAATGACTGAGGAAGAGCATCATTGTAGTCTATAGAAACGAGCTGTAAGCAAATCCTAAAGCTCCCCCATTTCTGCAACTGATCATTGTAAAGATAAACAAGGCAACAATCATATAGTTCACCTGTCTCTTTTTGTATTGAATTCTAGTGCCACAAAATGTTTATATTTTCAAGATGGGAAAGGAAAAAGAACTGCTTTTTGTATTGCAATGTAAATGAAGGAAGAATTTATGTAAAAAAAAATAAAATTGTCAGGTGGTTTCCTGTACTGAACAGGCATTGTTATTGTGGTACAGTTGAGCCAAGCTCAGGATGAATGTAATTAAGTGGAATAGTATATATTTATTTTTTTACCACATTTGTCATCAATATATTGTCTCACTAAATTAAATGATGTCATGGAACAGTAAGAATAATGGGCTGAGATGCTCAAAGCAGAGCAGGAGGGATATTATATTTTCACTGTTCTCTACAAGATTTCCATTACTTCCATTAATTGTTATCCCCCTCCCAAATTGCTACCATGTTCTTCTTACTGTTCTTGCTGCTGATTTTTCATATCATTCACCCAACACAAGCATTAACATTTTACTTATTGAGACAGTAATCTGAAATCAGACTGCTTGATAAACTTTGTATGTTTGAGTGTTCAGATACAACTGTTGTTTAATGGAAAATGCTCTTGGCAGAGTATCTCAAAACAATAAAATAAGATTTTAGAGGTAAGCTAAAGCACCAAAGTGAAAACCGATATGTGTTAACAGCAAAAGTAGTCAGTTGCAAGTATGCTTCCATTTAACAGCAAGATAGAACAAACCACAACATGCATTTTAATAAAAATTCTGCCCTCAATTGTGTGTATGGGACCCCAAATGAAGTCAGCAGTAATACGTCCTATGCATCTGAGTGCAAAACCTTGTTCATGATGTTAATAAGGTGTTTCATGCCCTTATGATAGCATCTCTTGGTCATATAATAGAGCCTTAAAAGTAGTAATTTGATCACAATTTCACACCATTTTAGAGGGGGAAAGCTTAATCTTGAGAAGTTTGGAAGCGAATGCTATGACCATTAGTTTAAAAATAAAACAGCCTCTAAAAAAAACTACTATACATGTGGATCCAGGTCCTTTATTATTAATGTTAACGTGGCTGGGATTTTCAAAGTTACCTATGGGGTTTTGAGGCATTCCATGCCCATTAATTTTAGTGGGAGTTGGCCACGCAAATCTAAGAGACATCTTTGAAAGTCTCAACCTAATTTATCTCTAGGAATTCATCCCAGGGGCATCTGAGTGATAGGCAACAAAGCCCTATCTCAAAATTAAATATCTGACCCCCGAGAAGAGGCAAAGAGAGTGGAAAAAATTGTGAGCAGTGACTCACTTTGTGGAAAGTTGGTGAAATAAACAAATGCAACATGTTGACTTTTAAACACAAAATGTGTTATTTGTTAGTGCACCAATTATTTCCATTTCGTACTTTGTTAAATCAGTCCTTCTGTGATCTAGGCTCAGCTTGATCCACATACTGTGTTTACTTGATTGCCTTGAGGTCCATGTACTGGTTTTCTGTCACATGTCACTGATCAAGGGTACAATTTCTGACCTGTCACTCAGTGAATTACAAAGTGTGCTTGTGATGGGCTGATTGTTAAACAATAGCTTTCCCAGGGACAATGCCATTTTTGTTTAACAGTCTGCTTCAAATGTGCCAAATTTTGTATCAGTCTGTTCCTAAGGTTTCTCTAAATCAGCCGTTTTATTTATTGCTTTTTTAATTTAAGGATGTTTTCTGAAACTATTCATAGACTTTTCCACCTTCATCAATAAAATTAGCATGTACAAGAAGAATTAATTTGAGACATCCCCATCACTTTATTAGTTCAAGGTGCAGAGATCCCCTCTGGGTGATTCATTGTTAGTTTATTGGGGTAAAAGGGTTTCCCAATCCAGGAGCTGTAAAATAATTAGAATACAGCACTTTATTGACCTGGAGCATAAACTCCAGGCATGGTGAACCAGGACACTTTAGTTATGTCTTTTAACTGCCATTATATATAAATTCCACTATAAAAAAGTATAATTCCAAAATGTCAAAACTTTTCCTGAATGTTTCCCATTTACCTAAAATAAGGTTTCTATAGCATGTATTATGATGGATGGTAGAGTATTTTGTTTATCTTCACTTGTTAATGTCAGTGGGATGGGGATTTTGCCCCCCCTCTCAACACTGAATGGTACAGGTTGTTATAACTTCTTTAGTGGAGATAAAAAATAACTCAGCCTTCATCATCTTATAACTATAGCTTGTGCCATATGATATATTATGTATTGAATGATATCTTATATAGCCCATGTATAATCCAGTATGGTTTTGACATGTGATCATATAGTGAATGTTACAGGGCAGCTTTAACATTACATTATAAAGTCATACTTTTAAATCTGTAACATTCAGTAAAATAGCACATGTTGCATTGAACATTAAATCCCACTATCCAAGTTAGCATACATATGGATTATGCATTTTTGGTCACAATCTGTAACTGCTGTATGTTTCACACGTCCTTCTGTACAGCACCACTGTAAATGTTTGTATGAGCTGATGTATAAGTCTCTAATGAGCCACTGTGAGCTGTGATTGGTGAGTTGTGATAGTGTGAACGATGAACTGGCATGTTATGCAAAAGATAAGATAAATGAACTTTAAATAATATTTTGAAACTCAGTTGACTTAGCTGTTTGTTTACATATGCTGGCCAATTAAGGAAGCAGTGTACAGTATTTTATAAATATTTTCATATAGTAATCTGTTCTGTTGTTTCCAGTTTAAGTGATGCTATTCTATAGTTGGGTGTACACTTGTCCTAGATATTGGATTATAGCATATTATTCTTTCACAACAGTGTGATATGACTGAACTAGTTTCTCTTCCTTAAAGTCCAGTCTTTTTTTGTGTCAATGAAAATGCATGCATTGTTCCATGAATTTCTTTGGACTACTATGAGGCTTAACATTTTATTATTGCCTGCCTGTAATAATGAATCCAGTTAGGAATTTAAAAAATCAAGTTTTTGGACTTTTACATTATGTTCAATCTTTAAGCAAACTAAATTGATTTTTATTTTTTTGTAAGCTACACTTCAAGATGTCATGAAATTGAAGTACTAAACACAAAGGTGTGAACCTACAGCAGTGCTGAGACATTTAGCTCTCTACTTTGGAAAAGATAAGGTGTTTCATTACTGTTCTCGGCACACCTGTCTGGTAACTAATGGCCGTGAGGTACAAATTGCTAAAACATAACAAACAGTGAGAAAAGGCTCATTAATCCACATGGCAAAAATCGCTCTAGACTCCAGATAATTAATGTTGATTTAAAGACTTCTAGTGAAAATGAATCAGTGTATATGGATGGGATGGATGATTTTGTTAGGGTGGGGGTGACTTGAAATGTAATATTTGTACGAGAAGTAGAATATTTGTTTCTTAGAAACTATCTGGCACCTGGGAAATGCAAAGGTAAAGCATGTCTACCAAGTTTGAACAACTGCTTATACCGTAAAAATAAGTGCCATTCACAGGACAGGGCCTCAGTCCAATTCAGCGGTTTTCAACTGGCAGCCTGTGGGCCGCATGCAGCCCAATTAGTGCACAGCTGTGGCCCGACCCAGCTCAGCGCTAAAGACCATGTGCTAAAGGGTCTGGGCTGCGCTGCTGCCTAACGTGGCGGGGACAGGAGCTCCTGGCCAACCCCATGAGCTCTGGGGCGCTGGGCAGCCAGCCCACCCCACATGGCAGGGCTCTGGGGTCAGGGCAGCCCACACATACAGCCCACAATGTGTAATAACTTGAGAACCACTGGTCTAATTCCTGCAGTTGGAGAGACCAGGCCTGTTCTCTCAAAAGCAAAAGTTATCAATTTACAAATGTGGACTGAGCTCACTGAAATGATCAAAAATCTCTCTCTAAACTGTTTGTTTAAAACAAGAAAAAAAGTCTTCTTGTATTTGCTCAGGTTATCACTTTAAGGGGATTCAACAACCAAGAGTAAGGAAAATATGAGGTGGTCATTCTTGGATTTCCAAAGTGGGAGTTGTGATTTAGGTGGTTGTGATGATTATGAATTTCTCCCCTCACCCACCACCACCTAACAAAGAGAAAAAGGAAAACAACATTTGCATTTTTGCACACATCAGCCCATTTGAGACAGCAAAACCAGATTAACGTAAATTTATTATGACAGCTAAGTTAATACTTTTTCTAAGAAAGGAGCCTAAGGGTATTGTAGGATGAGTTCTCCCTCACCAATCTCACATAACCAAGAGCACATTCCAAATAAGGAAGGAGGGCAAAAGTAAAGGACTTGGCAGGGGGGTTGCATTTAGCTGATGAATTCCTTCATTACTGTACATTAGAATTTACCCTCCTGTCCTCTCTGGCATAAACGAATACAACAGCACTACCCCTGCACATGAAAGGAGTGACTGTCTCCACTCCCATGACTGTTATGTTGCTTTATAGCCAACTGTAGTCGCATTTTGGAGAGCAATATAGCAAGTTCCATCCTTCCCCTTTCCAAGGTAGATTATTGGCTAGATTATGATCTTTGTTACACTGGTGTAAATCTGCAGGAAGTCTACATAAGTGGAGTTACTGTGTATTCACTGCAGAATAACGAGCAGAACTGGACCCTGAATTTCCAACTTTACATCACTTCTAGCCATTATACACGTTGTCCTTAACCAGGTTTCCAGCGGGCAGTCTACTGAATGAGCCACTGGGCCTGCCTAACTTCAATTCAGATAGGCTGTGAAACCTAGTTATCTGCTGCACTTTCATTCTGAACAAGGTTCCACTGAAGTTCTTATTTCAAAAGGCTCTCGAGGAAAATGGTTGGTTATGATATTGCTGTTGCTGGTGGAAAATGGTAACTTTTGTTTATATGACAGTAGGGGGGGAAATGGCTCTGAAATATAACAATGTGCGTGCACAACAGTAACCTGTATTAAAGGTATGTCCTCCTTTCACCCCTGAAGCTGTCTTATGTGAGGAGAGCCTATATGCTGCTAGTGCTGTCTGGAACAGTGTTTGCAATATTACTGTACTAATAGCTATGTAATGATATAATGTAAGGGTTATCGTTTGTAACTGTTATACCAAACATTTATAAAAGGAGGGGGAAACCATTCAAATGTCATTTTTAAATAAATTCCTATAAATATGAAGGTTTTGAATTTTGATTTATTCAAATATATATATTACTAGGGAAAACAGTCCTTTTTAAAAGGTCTGCTGGATTCACAGTGCACTTTTAGACGGTGTGGTTAGATACAGAATGAAAAAGCGGAAGTTGGCAGTTACTGCAGTAGAACTTTCTGAAATTTCTGTAACAAAATGTTTTGCAATAAAACAGGATGTAGTTCAAAACATTTCTACAGCCTTCCAGTGCATTTATTTGCCGTCATCTCTTTTCAACACCACAATGGACAATGACGCAAGTGGCAGCTGCCTTTCTCCAAATAAAATCTGATTGTTTTACTTCAGTTCTCGCTAAGGCTAATTTAAAAACAGAGGTACCCTCCCTCGCAGCATTTTACAGATGTAATAAAAAAAATCAGACTAGTTTAATAGTTCTCCCAAACACTTCTGGGTCCTGGTCATCTAGATTTTTTAAAAGTAGGCACCAGTTCCAGCTGTTCTGTATTAGTTCAAACCCTTTGTTAGGTGCCCTGACACAGGTAGTCCTAGATTTACATATACCCCACATATCATAGACACAGTAAATGAAGAGAAGTGAGGTAATCTCTCCTATTGGACTAACTTCTATTAGTGAAAGAGGTGAGCTTTCAAGCTTACACAGAGCTCAGGCCAATACATTGGTCACCAATGTATGCAAACTGGAAAGGATCTAGAGGCAAGCAACAAAGATGATCAAAGGGATGGAATGCAAAGGCTGAAGGAACTGAGTATGTTTAGTCTGGAAATGAGATTAAGGGGGAGCGGGGACAGAATATGATAGCGGTCTTCAGATACTTGAAAGGCTGCCATAAAAAAGTTGTTCTCTTTTGCCACTGAGGGCAGGACAAGAGGCAATGGATTCAAACTACAGCATAGCAGACTTAGATACAGTTAGGAAGTTTTTCCTGACATTTTAAGAACAATAGGACAGAGTGTGTGGGGAGGTTGTGAAAGCGTCTTCACTGGAGGCCTTCAAAAGGAGGCTGGGTAGCCATCTGTCTTGGGGGGGTTTAGACACACCCTGCATCTTGGCAGGGGGTTAGACTAGATGACCTTTGCAGTCCCTTTTAAATTCATGCTTCTAAACAATATTACCTAATATCCTGGGACCAACACAGCAAATCATAGAGATTGTCAGGCGGTATGATGCCCATTTTAGGTTATAACAGAGTGCAGGAAGCCAGGTCACACAGCGTCTAATCCTGGCTTTGCTATTAACTTGCTATTGCATTTTAGGTAATTTACTTAATTTCTGTGTCTCTGTTTCCTCACCTGTAAAAATAACACACCCACCTTTGTAATGTGTTCTTGGATTTTCAGATGAAAAGCTCTATATAAGTAAGTGCAAAAGGTCATTTAGTGTTGACAAGCTGAAATAGTATCATTTACAATTATTGTATTATATAATGCTACCAGAAATAGCCAATACTTGCTTCTAATCATGAAACATAAGACCATGGGGTAATAAACGAAGCTAATTGGCTCCATGCTGCACCATTCATCTTTGTTTTGTAACCCTATATTGTAGCTTTGTATTGCCAGTGTGTGCCGAGGAACACGTATGTAGTAGGGTTGCCTAAATGTGTGTGTGTGCGGGGGAGAGGCTGCCGATAATACCAAGCTGTATCTCTATACCCCGCGTATCCTGAGTGGTGTGTATACCTGACGCTTTCCAGCTCAGGTACCAGAGAGCGCAAATGACATAAAAATAGGAATGAAGTGAAGAGTGTTTTATCCCTTGGTTTATAACAGTAAATGGTATCAACCATCCATGAGAATGAAGCAATTTAAGAGCCGTTAGATGCACATTAGGTGCCTTTGCAGCAGAATTACAAGGTTAGGACGGAGGAGGGCAAACTACGGCCCACAGGACCCTTCCCTCTAGCCCCGCCCTGAGCTCCTGCCCAGGACAGGCTTGCAGAGGCGCCAGCCCAATGCCCTGGCAGCTCGGAGGCTAACCCCTGGCCCCACCCTTTCTGCTCCCCACCCTCCCTCGCAGTCACAGTTGCCCCTGCAGCCGGGCGGCATGGCTATAGCGCAGCCAGACCTGGTACTCCAGGGTGGCGCGGTCAGGGGGAGCTCCGGGGAGGCGAGGAGCAGGGTGGGTTGCAGGGGGCTGGTCAAGGGGCCTGGGCTCTGCTGCTGGGAACAGGGGCAAAGGAAACTAGGGCCCCCCTCCGTCTCCAGCATGCTTGGCCCCTGTCCCGAGCAGCCAAGCCCAGAGAGGGAGTGAGCCCTGCCCTACTGCCAGGGGGAGCAGGCAAACGAGCAGGGGAAACGCACAGGGGAAGGACTGAGCCCCCCCCCCCCTTTTCCCTACCCCACAGATAACGTAGAGCGGGGGGGGTGGGGAGCAGGGGAGATGGTCGGGGCAGCAGGGGTGTTTGGCTAGGCTGCAGGAGTCCTGGGGGACAGTCAGTGGTGGGGAGCGGGGGGGTGGGGTTGGGAGTTCCAGGGGGCTGGAATGGGGGTGGGGGCCAGGCCATGCCTGTTGGGGGAGGCATAGCTTTCCCCCAGCCTTCCCCACCTGGCCCTCCATACAATTTCTGTACCCGATGTGGCCCTAGGGCCAAAAAGTTTGCCTGCCCCCGGGTTAGGAGCATGCAGTGTAGTTTTAACTGTGTCGGGGCCAAGCCATTAGAGCAACAAGGTAGGTGAGGCAAATCTGTTGCTCTGACCCTCAGAAGTTGGTCCAATAAAAGATATTACCTCACCCACCTTCTTTCTCTAAAGTTAAGCATGTTCAGCACTATGGCTGGCAAGCCGTAAGTACTTTTTAATTAAACACATATTGGGCTATTTCCACCAGGGTTTTAATATCGGTTTCTGTTGGCACAAACCCTCACATAGACCCTCAGGAAGAGGGTTTCAGCAACACAAGATACCATAGCAACCCCTTTGCTGGAGCCCTGTGGCTGGCACAATCCCAAAAGTTGCATGAGAAGGGTCACATGAACAATGTGCTGATTCAGAGAATCCCAGCTGCCACCTCCACAAAAAAGGCTAAAAAAGCAGTGCTCAGACTAGGTTAAGGAACTAAAACTGCCTTCCCCTGCCAGAACTCCTGAGAAGAGCAGAGGGTGAAAATACAACCTGCCCAACCACACTAAATGCCGCCTTTTAGGTTCAGAAGATTTTAGTGGTGCAAGGATTTAAATTTGAACAGCGAAGGTGACTCTGGCTCACTCCTGTTTGAATGGAGAGTTACTTATTTGAGTGGGAACTATCAATATAGACAGCTTTTTTTCCTTGAGGAATAATAAATGCTGGTGTTTGCTAGTCAAAGAACTGCAAAAGCTATTCCGATATCCATTCTGAATGGCTTTGTTGAAGCCTCTGTGTTGTCATGTGTGTAACAGGTTTCAGAGTAACAGCCGTGTTAGTCTGTATTCGCAAAAAGAAAAGGAGTACTTGTGGCACCTTAGAGACTAACCAATTTATTTGAGCCTAAGCTTTCGTGAGCTACAGCTCACTTCATCGGATGCATACTGTGGAAACACAGTATATACACTTATATACACACAGAGACCATGAAACAACACCTCCTCCCATCCCACTCTCCTGCTGGTAATAGCTTATCTAAAGTGATCACACTTTACACAATCCTCATCTGGCCCAGTGCTGTGAGGTGCCATAAGTGGCAGCTGAAGGAGTGCAGTATATTGCAGCAGCAGTTTACATTATAAGGCCTCCCAGATGCAGCTGAGCAGTGCACAGTGTATCTCTGGAGGAGAGAGAGTATGCAAAAATGGCTTGAAGCCTCCTTTGCAGTCCCTCAATGATCAGTTGGCAAAGTGGCAAAGGATCTGGGTTCAGACCTTTATCCCTAAGGAACTATTATCTGCCCAAGCAATTATTCATTTAAATAGGGAGACTAACTTCCCAGATGTAGACTGGAGAACAAATGCTACTAATAATGGTAGCCTGAATGTGATAGGATTTCTTCAACCAATACTCACTGAACCAACAAGAGGTGATCCTATTTTACAAGTGGATTGAGTTTTAATTAAATGGAAGGGTAATCAAACAGCTCAGTAACTAAGCATTTAGATTTCTAAAGCGCTGGCTTTGAAAGTTAAAGTAACTGGTTAGTGAAGTCAACTGGATTGATACACTCAAGGACTTATATGTGAAAAAGGGGTTGTAATTCCTTTAAATCGGAGGTGTGAAAATATCTGGAATTTGAAGCCCAAGCCAGGGAAATAAACTTGTAAAGAAGGGCTCCAGATCTAACAGGATGGGGGCAAAAAAACCCAAACCTAATCTCAAAAAAGAATATTCAGATTAACCTGAGTGACCACGAGGAATGGGAAAAAGATTGCTCAGCAAAGAAAGCTACATTCTAGAGCTCAAAAAGTGTACGGATAAAGTGAGAATTGCCACTTTAACAGGTTTTTTGAGTTAGCCATTGCACAAGAAATTCAAACAAATAGTAAAAAGTCTTATAAATAAATAAAAGCCTAACAACAGGCTCATTAGCCTTATAAATAAGAGAACAGGAAAAGCAGAAGTGGAGCCTCTATGCAGCAAGGATGGGCTAGAGATTAAGGCTACCAAGGTAAGGCCCAAAAACTAAACGAACACTTTGCCTCAGTTTCCAATAAGGATGATAATGTACACTATAGAGGAAAGGCTAATGAGAATAAATATATAGAAATGGATATTACTACATTGGAGGTAGAAGCCAAATCAATGAGCTTAATGCCCTCAGATTGGAGGAAACAGATCATCTCTGCCCCAGAATACTGTAAGAACTGGTATGTGGAAATTGCAAGGATGTTTAATAAATCCGTCAAGGAGGGGATGACTGGAGAACAGCAAATGTAGTAACTACATTTAAAAAGGGACAGGGGGAAGTGAAGTGGGCAATTCAAGACCATGAATACATTTAGGCTGGAAATTAGAAGAAGGTTTCTAACAATCAGAGGAGGGAGGGTCAATCAGCCCAACTAATTTGAAGATGGAGCTTGTTAAGTGTATTAAATGAATATAACAGGGCTGCTTGCAATAGCAGGGGAATGGACTTAATGACCCAGGAGGTCCCTTCCACTCCTATGTTCCTTAATATTAAAAAAAAAAACCCACCAGCAAGAAATTAGCATCTCATAAAGGTGAAATCAGCTACTCTTCTGCAGCGATCACTCATACACAAGCAAAGGGTTGGGTTAGGTGATCTAACAGGCTCTCTCCCTC